CAGAAACCATCCCTATATCATCCCTAAAAAAATTACCTCCAAAGTTACAAATTAAAAACCAAATTATTTTGCTATTTATGACACTTTAAATAAATATTTGATAGAGTAATAATCAATTTATTTAAGCAATAAAGAAAAAACATAAAATATTCAAACCTTGAAGGTAAAGTCTTTGGTTGTCCAATCAATAAAGATCAGGGCTAAGGGATCCAACCAATAAAGGTAAGATACATTGTTGCCCAATCATTGAAGATTAGGGTTATCAGGTCCAACCACTAAAGGTAAGAAACGTTGTTGACCAATTAATGAAGATCAGGGTTATCAGGTCCAACCACTGAAGGTAAGAAACATTGTTGACCAGTCAATGAAGATCAGGTTTATGGGATCCAACCACTAAAGGTAAGAAACATTGTTTCCAATCATTGAAGATCAGGGTTATCAGGTCCAACAACTGAAGATAACATACATTATTGTCCAATCAATGAAGATCAGGGTTAACCACTGAAGGTAAGAAACATTGTTGTCTAATGAGTAGTTGGACCTGATAACCCTGATCTTCATGGATTAGACAACAATGTTTTTTACCTTCAGTAGTTAGACCTAGTAACCCTGATCTTCATTGATTCGTCCACAATGTTTCTTACGTTAAGTGGTTGGACCTGATAACATTGATCTTGATTGAGTGGTCAACAATGTTTCTTACTTTCAGTGGTTGCACCTGATAACCCTTTTCTTTATTGATTGGGCAACAATGTATTTTACCTTCATTGGTTGGACCTGATAACCCTTACCTTTTTTGATTGGACTACATTTTTTCTTACCTTCAGTGGTTGGATCCCATAATCCTGATCTTCATTGATTGGACAACAATGTATCTTACCTTTAGTGGTTTGACCTGATAACTCTGATCTTCATTGATTGACCAACAAGGTATCTTACCTTCAGTGGTTGGACCTGAATCCCTGATCTTCATTGATTGGTCAACAATGTTTCTTACCGTCTGTGGTTGGACCTGATAACCCTGATCTTCATTGATTGGACAACAATGTATCTTACCTTCAGTGGTTTGATCCCTTAGCCCTGATTGGACAAGCAAAGACTTTACCTTCAAGGTTTGAATATTTTATGTGTTTTCTTTATTGATTGATATAAATTGATTATCACCATATCAAATGTTTATTTAAAGTGTCATAAATATCAAAATAACTTGGTTTTTAATTTGTAACTTCGGAGGTAATTTTTTTAGGGATGATATAGGGATGGTTTCTGATCATGATTAAAGGTTGTTGAGTTAATGGTGGATGCAACAATAGTTGCTTATTTGTTATTGGTAGGTATAACTCTTTAACAAAAACATTAGAATCTTTGTCCATGACATGTCGAATTTTTTTCCGTTTTTGGTTGTTTAGGGTGGTTTTTTAACATATTAAGGGGTGGCCGATATTTCTGCAGCAGTGGTAAGCGTTGTTTATTTTTGAAGGATTAATTATTGCTTTGTTATCTATCAATATATTTACGTTTTATACCTTTTTGGGGTTTTGGCATAAGGGTTTATGTATGAGGGGGTAGTTTTTTATACTGCAAGGGTCGTAATCGTGATTTAAGTTATGCGGTTGCTATTACTTATTTTATTAAATTATCGTGTAAACATTTCTTATTTACAAAATTTTTTTCACATTTTACTGTTTTTTATTGAAAACGGTATCTCTGAGTTAAGGGTGGGTTTTCAACCCTTTCCCCAAGGTATAGAACTTTCTAAGGGTGATTTTTGGATTCAGCAGGTCGAAATCTTTAAAAACATACACTTATTTTACAATCCCCTTCGGGGGCAAATTTTGACCATTTTTCAGCATCGTTCTTTGTAAGAGAAATTTACGAAAATGTAAAAACACTTGTATAGCCAAGATTTTAGGCTTAAGACGAGTGTATAAACAAATAAAATAAATAAGTTAAAATAAATGATAAAAGGAGATATTAAAAGAAGAATCTAAAATTTTAAATTGGGTTAGGGTATTTGCACCAGTGAAAGAATTGACACTAGTAACAGAACAAATTGATTATTTATCACGATATTTTACAAATTATAACATTTAGAACAATAAAAAAAATATTTTTTAGTTTCTTATTTCTTCAAAATATAGTTTATGATAAGAAAATTAATTCAATATGCAAGTTATTTCTGAAAATAATTTTAAATTTTTTGGTGGGTTATGAACATAACAAGTGAACGAAGCATAAACAGAAAAAAGGTTACAAGTTTCAGGTGCAATTAAATAATATTTCTAGGTGCGTAATCAGGAAAATATGAATAATAGTAAGTTGCAAAATTGTTTCAGAATATTTGTAACGTTTTTCATATAATTTTTTTTTATTTTTAGACACTGTATAAATATAAATTTGATATGTTCTTTTACTGGTCAACGTTCTTTCACTGGTAAAATGGACATTTTTCAATATTTGATTAAAATTTGATATATTATGTTATATTTATAAAATATGTATCATAGGCTTCAAATTCTTCAGAAATTTAACTATCCATTGCATATGATTAAAACGAAATTCAAAAATGTCAATTAAAATTAAAAAGTATCGAAAGTGTACATTTCCTTAAATGTTTTTTCACTGGTGCCACTACCCTATTAGCCAAATTGTTTAAATTTGCCCTTATGGAAGGCATTAATGTGGAATTCTACGATACGGATCTCATGATTGACTTAATGTTATAGAATCTATAGGTCAAAAAAAGGTCAAATTTGACTTAAATTTTGACGTAATGTAACGGCTTTTAAGGAGGACTTTAATGAGGAATTTATTAGGCCATTGGTCACAAATGACCTAAATTTTAACGGGGCTAAGGAGTTCGAGGGCTGCTTGAAGGTCTGAGGGGATCTATGTGAACCCTTGAAGTGTAAGTCAAGATTGTCCTTAAAATTAACCTAAATATTAAGGGGTTACGCCACCCTGAAATTTTCAAAAAAATTTATTTTTTTTTTTTGCTTAATTTCAAAGTTTATATTCTAACGAATATTTTGAGATGTCGCCGAAGACAATGTCTCACTAATTACAAAAGTTATGGTCATTAGAAGTCAGCGCGGTGGGGACGCGCCGAGAGCTGCTGGAAGCAGCGACTTTCTATTTTCGAATGGTCTAGGGGGCCCTTTCATGATTTAGGAAGGGTCCTTTTCATTGTATCCCTTCCATTCTTAAATAAAAAAAATTATGGCCCAGGAATTGCTGATTAAATAGTAAATTGAAAAATTTTCAAGTTATAATACACTAAAGTTCATTTTTTTCTTCTTTTGCGTTTTTCTCGAAACCACAATTTTCGAGACGGTGTACACGATAACTCAAAAACTATTCAATCGATTGACTTGAAAATTAATATACATCTTCCTAAATAGATTTTCCACAGAGTGACGTGGGATTTTTTTGATTGAATAATTTGAAAATTTTTTATCCAATTTTTTATACGGTAATTTTAGCCAAAAAAAAAATGTCAATTTTTGAAGTGCTTCCATTTGCGTAAAAAAATTTTTTTTTTAAAATGGCTTCGTCACTCTGTTCAAAATTTATCACTTTTTAAGAAAAATATTGTTTTACTTGTTTCTGACAAAAATTGAACTGCCAATCATGTACACCATCAAGGAGTGCTCCGGAAAAATTGATCCACGCCAATAGTTATATCTCCGCCATTTTTAATTAAAAACAATTTTTTTTTAATATTTATAAAGCTCAATATATGTACTAAAGCATCAATAAATGTAAAGAAGTCCTACCTGAAACAGTTTTATCAAAAAAATTCCTAAAAAACCATCCGATTTTCATGCGTTCAGGGTGGCGTAACCCCTTAAGGGCAGAACAGGTCAGACGGAGATTTTTAGTCAAGATTCCAACTTTAGATTAACACTAACCTTTAGATTGTTACAAATTTTGAGGGAAAAGCAGGGAAAATGGTATTTATTGTCAAGTTTTGACAGAGGGGATTTATGTGAACTCTTGAACTGTAAGTCAACATTTCCTTTCAATTTTACTCAAAATGGCATCGAAAAAATGTTTAACTTTTCGAATATGGATGAAATTATTTACTCGTGGGTTTTTAGAGTCGCGAAATTCCAATCTTTGATCAAAATTTAAAAATTCAAAATGGCAACTCTTAAACGCCTACCAAAAAATTTAAAGTTAACGGAATCTGGCTGAAAATGTTTACTTGGGTTTTTTTGGTAAATCTAATATATCCGGTGTTTTAAAAAATTGTGAAATGCGCAAAATGAAGTCAAGTTCCTTTTTGTCCTGCATTGTGTTCTCAAACATACCACAAGACGAAAGAATAATAAAGAATTTAGTAACAAATAATACATTGTTATCAAAACACAATATTCCTTTAATATTAACTGAATAAAAAAAATGTTAAACACAAAAGTAAAAAAATATATAACCGATATTTTGTAACTCCCAAAAATTTTAAACAAGTATTTTTAGCTACATTTGATTACACAGGCCTGCAAACTTAACCTTTTTTCGGTATAATGGATGCGACTAGGTGTTTCGGAAGGGAAATTTTGCGCTGAACACGAATTCTGGGTCCAAATTGCTCCTTCACGTCAAGTTTTTGAGAAAAAGTGCCTAAAACAGCGTTATTGTGCAAAATTCATGCTCTTTTAAATGAGGGATCGTCCATATATTACGTAACACTTTTTGGGGGGAGGAGGGGTCAAGCTATTTGTTACAATAAGCAAAAAAATGGCGCTAATGTATGTAACAGTGTGTTACATGGGGGAGGGGGGGTCGAAATTTTCAAAAATTAGCGTTACGTAAAAGCGACCCCAAAAACATAAAATATAAAGATATCAAGTATTTAAAAAAGAAAAAATTCAACACAAGGACAGCAACTTTTTATAATTTTCTTCATTGTATATTAGGATTTTCAAGCGATTATTTCAGGTTATATTTTTTTCAATATTCTTAAACAAAATTGTTGTAACATATTTATTTAATAGATAGACTATTACAAATTACTTGTCTCGAATTTAATGGAATCAAATTGTTATGTTTCTAAATCACCGAATTAAACTTTATTTTCTTTTACTAGTAAGTGTTCATACTATAGTAAGTTTAAATTAATGCTGATTGTACCCTCAATAGCCTTCTTTTCAAATCGACTATATTAAAATATAATTACTTCTGCTCATTCTTCTTAAATTTTGAAATAAAATGCCTTTGTTTGTATTAATATTTCAATTATAAATTTGTACAATATATAATTCAGTCTTTTAATTTTTTGAAAACTGACTTCTGATTCCTAAACAGCGACCCGGGAATGACAAGTATACACACTTTCACTAATTTTTGCTCTCTAAGAATATCTTAACATTTGAAAATCTAAGATTTTTCTCCTCACAGGTAAGGTGTTAAAATCCGTTCTTATTCACTTGTTTCACAATATCAATGTAATACACTGTACGTGAAATATAATAAATAATAAAAATGAAAGAGAATTAGAAATTGATTTCTAACGACTTTGCCACGGCGAGCGTAAGGTAGGGTAACATTTACCCTGTGTAATATTCATTCCTCGATAATTCGAATTTCTAACGCTGAATTTAACTGTAATCTTTCATAGCTACTCTGGAAAAGGTAACAAATATGTAAACAATAAAAAACATTTTTTACACATCTTATTGTTCATTTATAACTATTAGCAATATATGTACGCTGACTATAAAACACACCAATAGTTTTGTTTTTTGTATGTAGAAAAATTGAAATCATGAAGGTACTTCACTATTATCGGCTATTAAGGATAAATAATGTGTTTTACTATTATTATAATGAACTTTTTATTTGTTTAAACAATTTGTTACTGCTAATTTATAACAATTTCCAAAACAAAATAGAGAAAAGCAAATTTCTATAAATTTTGCATCTTTTATTGGTATTATTTAATGTTGAATCAATAAATTAAATTAAATATTAAATTAAATTTGCTATAGTTATTATTTAACATGGTTTAAACAATTACTTGTTGTCCTTACACGTAGAAAGAAGTTTGTAATTTCTGGATCTACTTATAATAACCGATAAATGTTAAATGTCAAATCGCTATTTTAGCAATTGTTTAAAAAAACAATTATAGTACAAAATTTCTATGATCTCAAGGTTTTTTAAAATGCAAATAAAAAATCATTACGCTCGCCGGGTTAAGAAAATTTTAAAGGGCATGCAAAAAAACTCGAGTCCATTCTGGCCCAATTCTTTAGCTTTTTAATTATTTGGAAAATTAAAAATCCATTTTTTAAGAAAAACCATATTTAATTTTTATCGAAATTTTACTAAATCTTAGAGCAACTGTTCTTTACATGTCCTGTAAATTTTACCTTGTTATCTCATAGGGTTTCAGATATAAAAAATGTAACATAACCATATATACAGCGGTAATGTTTTGGTGATTAGAGATTGCTTGGAAAAGAAGCATTTTGTTGATAATAGTCCTTTACTTATTCATTAATCGTTTCTTAAAATGACATTAACTCTCACAGTCACAGTGGATAAAAATCACCTTCTGTTATGTCTAAAAAAATTAAATATTTATTAGATTTGCTTGACGCACGTTACCTAGGGGTTTTTTGGGTTGCTAATTACGAATATGATGTCAGATTTTAAAAAAAAATTTAATTTAAGACAGTAGATCGCTGATTAAACTGATATCAGATTTGCAAAATTTTTCTAATATAAAATATCGTTTGCAATATGAAGAACAACAAAAATTAAAAATCACGCGGATTTTCTTGAAACTTATTACTCTGAATTTTTTGCTGTCAGTCATCACAAATTTAATGTCAGTTTTTCAAAATTTCTCAAATTCAAAATGCTAGATGTATTATTTTTAACAATATAGACTAAATATCACGCGGATTTGACATGAACAATTATGCCACTAAATAGTTTGTTTTCTTTTATCGAGAACAGTGACAAGTCTCTGTTTAGGAAAGGAAATTCTAATTATGACATGTTATATAAAATTTTACTTATGATAATTTACCTTCGAAAAAAATTTTTGAAGTGTTATGATTTATCGAGAAAGCAAACCGACGCACATTGATCAGAGAGACTCTATGTTACGCGACAAATGATAATTTTCATATTGCGATAAATAACCCGGGATGAAGCGATTCTTACATACAAATGTTTATCGAACTCAGAAATGATCAGTATTTTCAATGAAATTAATTTGGTAAGTCGATATATATATATATATATATATATATATATATATATATATATATATATCTCCCTATTAACATAATATCATTTCGCCACCACCGCCGCCGCACAGTGGGGCAAAATGTAGTAAGAGGCGTCAAAATTCTGTAATCACGTCAATTTTTAATGATAATGAATGCACTTTGGTGGCATGAAGCTTCAAGTATCACAGAATTTAAAACCCTTGCCGCATTTCCAAAATTCAAAATGGCGACTGTGCTGTAAGTGCCTAAATTTGGTTATTTTCGTATTTTTTAAAAGTTATGAACATTGAAACTGAAACAACTTGCACAAATAAATTCTAGAAATGTTGCTAAAGGTATATTTTGGGACTGAGGCCTATACTCGTTAAGAATCTGCATTGCAACTTTTAAAATTTAAAATGGCCGATCCAATATGGACGATCAAACGACAAAAATCCTTATAAATGCATATTAAAAGAAATTATTTTCATGAAAGTCTATACTCCAAGGTTATTTTCGCCGCTGATTACGAATCTGAGGTTAGATTTTCAAAATTTAAAATGGCCGATCCAATATGGCGGTCGAAATTATGAAAAATTAGTCAAATCATACTGATACTCAGTATTTCAACAGTTTTCGAGTCACTGATTACGAATCTGAGGTCAGATTTTCAAAATTCAAAATGGCCGATCTAATATGGCGATCGAAATTATGAAAAATTAGGCTAATCATTCTGATACTCAGTATTTCAACAGTTTTCGAGTCGCTGATTACGAATCTGAGGTCAGATTTTCAAAATTCAAAATGGCCGATCCAATATGGCGGTCGAAATTATGAAAAATTAGGCAAATCATTCTGATACTCAGTATTCCAACAGTTTTCGAGTCGCTGATTACGAATCTAAGGTCGGATTTTCAAAATCATGGCTTCACCATGGTAACAAAAGAAGTGAAAAAAAAGAATGTCTAGATAGCTATTTTTTATTTGTATGAAACTTCATGTATTCAGACAGCCTTTTTTCTTAAACTAGAGTGGACTTCGTTGATGCTGTTTACGTATTTAATTTTTATTTCTCATTTTGTCATTTATGCTATTTCTTAATTACAACCTATCTTCAATTATTTTTTCTTAATATTTATTACTTTGTTCCTTTTTATCATATTAAGATCAAAATTATCTTATTTTCAAAGTGAAGCTTCTTAATGTTAACTGCTTACTTTTTATTGTTTGTATTTTGATTTTTAAATTAAAAACAAAAAATATCGGAAGATATTCTAATGAAAAAATTAGAATATAAATTCTTCTGTATACAACTCTAAGAATTTTGAATCAATAATTTTTGTTATTCATGCATCAAATGAAAATGATGTACTTAAACAACGTAACAAAGATCGGCTCGACAACCTTCATTAGTGCAGAAACTGATTCTTAGAAACAAATATCAATACTCAACAAATCCTTCCTTCATGTTCTATCAGACATTTTGAATTTTGAAAATCCGACCTCAGATTCGTGATCAGCGACTCGAAAACTGTTGGAGTATTGATTATCAGAATCATTTGCCTAATTTTTCATAATTTCGACCGCCATATTGGATCGGCCATTTTGAATTTTGAAAATCTGACCTCAGATTCGTAATCAGCGACTCGAAAACGGTTGGAATACTGAGTATCAGAATGATTTGACTAATTTTTCACAATTTCGACCGCCATATTGGATCGGCCATTTTGAATTTTGAAAATCTGACCTCAGATTCGTAATCAGCGACTCGAAAACTGTTGGAATACTGAGTATCAGAATGATTTGACTAATTTTTTACAATTTCGACCGCCATATTGGATCGGCCATTTTAAATTTTGAAAATCTAACCTCAGATTCGTAATCAGCGGCGAAAATAACCTTGGAGTATAGACTTTCATGAAAATAATTTCTTTTAATATGCATTTATAAGGATTTTTGTCGTTTGATCGTCCATATTGGATCGGCCATTTTGAATTTTGAAAGTTGCAATGCAGATTCTTAACGAGTATAGGCCTCAGTCCCAAAATATACCTTTAGCAACATTTCTAGAATTTATTTGTGCAAGTTGTTTCAGTTTCAATGTCCATAACTTTTAAAAAATACGAAAATAACCAAATTTAGGCACTTACAGCACAGACGCCATTTTAAATTTTGGAAATGCGGCAAGGGTTTTAAATTCTGTGATACTTGAAGCTTCATCCACCAAAGTGCATTCATTATCATTAAACATTGACGTGATTACAGAATTTTGACGCCTCTTACTACATTTTGCCCCACTGTTCGCCGCTGATGACAGAAAGTTTTTAAACCCCTTTCCCTTAAAATTTAGGTCAATTTTAAGGACAATTTTGACTTACAGGTAAAATCTTGACAATAACAAAACTTGACCATTTGTCCCGCTCTTTCCACAAAATTTAGGTCACTTTTAAGGGCAGTTTTGACCTATATCTCAAAACTTAACAACAAAGTCCGTACGACCTTATCTTTCATTAAAATGTAAGTCAGTTTTAGGAGCAAATTTTACCTACAGTTTAAATCTTGACTACAATCTCCGTCTGACCTGTTCTGCCCTTAAAATTTAGGTCACATTTAAAGGCAACGTTGACTTACAGTTCAAGGGTTTAAATAAATCCCCTCTGTCAAAACTTGACAAATAATCTCCTTTGCCCTGTTCTTTCCTCAAAAATCGGGTAAATTTAAAGGTTAGTGTTGACCTACAGGTCAAAAAAGGGCCCCATATGGGCCCTCTAAAGAGTTGATATCCTAGGTTAATATTTATGTCAAATTTGACCTATTTTTACCCTACTGGTCAAAAAGAGGCACAATAACGGCCGTTACATTGGGTCAAAATCTATGTGTAATTTGACCTATTTGACCTGCAGGTCAAAAGGGGCCCAATAAGCTCTTACGATATGTCAAAATCTATGTTAAATTTGACGTATTATTAACCTATAGGTCAAAAAGTGTTCTAATAAATACCGTTACGATACATAAAAATTTAAATCAAATTTGACCTATTTTTGACCTATATATTAAAAGGCCTTTCACATTAAGTCTATTATGAGGTCCGTAACATAGAATTGTTCATTAGTACCTTCCATATTGTCAATTTCAAAGAATTTGGTTAATAACTAAATTAAAAATTTTAGATTCTTCTTTTAATATTTCCTTTTATCATTTACTGTGACATTTTTATTATGCATTCATATTAAGAGAACATGATTTAAAATTAATAAAAATTAAAATAAATATAAGAATAGAGTTAGAGGTTTAGCGCTCAGGGGGGCGAAGCCCCCCTAGTGTATATATATAGGGTAAGTCCAGGGGAGATGGTCATACGGGAGAGATGGCCTATTCAAATATTTTACATAATTTGTAAGAAAATATTATTTATTATTGGTTACTCTTCAAACTTTTGTAACTAATGATAAATAATAAATCAGTGCATTGAAATGCAACTCTGACGACTCGATTCTGGCTTCGCGCAGCTGCGAATGGAAAAGAAAGCAGGGGCGGATTAATGCGAGGGAACGATGAACTTTCGAGTTTCTTTATATTCTTCGTCAAACGTCATTATTTATTATTCCGCCGCATAAATCCGTCCCTGCTTTCTCTCCAATTCGCAGCAGTGCGAAGCCAGAATCGAATGCACCGATCGGTCGCAACACGGCTTCACATTTTTAATGATAAATCAATGACGGATTGACATTTTTCAATTTTCGAAGGCTTATTTTAAAGCTGAAATTCTAACGAATATTTCTGTGTTTTTAAAGCAATTTTATCTAAATTTTTCTAGATTTTTGAAACATTTGAAGTCAAGATATAAAAATGAGAAAATTTGATAATTTTTTTAAACTTCTATTTCACTCTACAACTCAAAAAATAGTTAACGAAATGACTTCAAAGACGGATTATTTTACGTAAAGTTAAATAAGCTTCCTAACCGTATTTAAGTTTTTTTGTACACTGAAAAACTGTTGATGAAACAGTTCCGCTATTGACTGTTGTGTAGCGCTACTTGATGTTTAAACTAACAGATCAATCAAAATTTGGCGAGTTGCTTTCTTAAACTGGACTACCAATGGCGTTAAGTGAGCGGCTGCTTGACAAATAGTTCGGCAGCTCTACGAAAAAGGATAGTTACTCTCCCAAAACTAAAGTGAGCTGGGCGTTTCTTTTTAATGCAACACTTCAGCGCATTGGGCGAACAGTTCTGCCAACAGTTTTTCAGTGTATCTCTTATTATTTCCGAGATATGATTGTGATGGCATTTATGAAAAGTGATGGCATGTTTTTTCATAGAGTCGCGTGTAATCGTTCTGATACTCGTGGACGGACGGCAGTGTATATTCTGATTAAGCATGACAAAATAAAGATTATCCTAAAGTTCAGTTGCAATCAGAGCAGTCTTTCTAATCTTTTGTATAAAGTAGGTTCTCTCCGACCACTCTGCGTCAATAAAGTATGATTAAATTTAAATAAATGAATAGAATAAAAGTGATAGAATCATCTCTACTCTTATTAAATAAATAAAGTTGGTCAGAAAAGTAGGTACTATTCAGCGAGAGCCAAAATCTATAAGTAAATTTTATTTAAATTTATATGAACTGTTTTTTAGCCCCTTATAGGGGAGAGTGGGGTAACCCCGGACAGAAGGTAGACCCGGACACGTTTGAAATACAATAGACAGCTTAATTTATACCGTTATAATTACATTTGTGTCTTTTAAAATATTTTAAAAAGTTAATTGAGGCTCCGGATCTTAAAATGGCACTTTCCACATAGACTTTACATGGTGAAAGTGCCCTTTTAAGATCCGGAGCCTCAATTTTCAAAGTATGAACTATTATCTTTTATTCGATTATTAAAAAATTAAATATAAATACGATCTGATATATAATCAATTGTTTTCTATGGACCAAGACTCATATTTAATTTTAAAATTTCACGAAATCTCGAAAAGTTTAATATTTTTTCTTTGTAGTTATACGTAAATAAACATTCGTACTATAAAATCGGTTAGTATTTTTATTAAATTTGTGTATTTCACTTTTTATAACAGATTTTCGGAAATAATTCACTTTTTGATAGCCCTGTACATTTCATGTCGGGCACTATTAGACATAAATTTATAATAGTTTTTATTTGTTTTCATAAAAAAATAAATAATAATTAAGGTTAAATTGTAATAATTTATCTCAAAATATCTAAATATTATTATTAATTGAACATATGTTATTTACTTATTACATATAAATTAACATTGGACATCACAAAAGTTCTGTTTGAAAATCACTTCTGGTTTTTAGTAAGTATTTGTATAGAACAGGTAGAAATTAAATCTGAATCTACAAAAAGAGAAACTAAAAACTTTCGTTTTACAAAGGTAAAAATGTTCTGTAGGGGAGACTGGGGTAAACCCGCGCACAGGGTAAACCCGCTCACTAGCGATTTGACGCTATGAACTCAACTTAAGATGGAAATATTGGTACTGTGAATAGTACTTAACATTCAACTTATATTAACGAACTTTCGTTTAGTTTCATGAATTCAACATAGAATCAGAGACGATCAAATGTTTTTAGAGGTGTCAGAAAAAAAGGAATTTTGGATTTTTAAGTTTTTCGATCATTATTTTTAATTATTAATTTATCTGGCAAATTTTTTTTATTGCCATTGGATGTCCTTCTTCGAAGTACATATATAGTTTTGTCTTATTTTAAAAAGATTTAATTAAATTTATTCTGTAATGTGAGGAATACACTCGGGGTAAAGTCGCTCACGTGAAGTCGGGGTAAAGCCGCTCACTTAGTTTTAAATTTAAAATTTAGAATAAAATAATTTCACGTATTATATTTCAACAATAACACAATTTATGACTTATTAAAACCAAAATTGTAACTACATTTCACTTTCTCTTAATAAAATATAACACTATTTAAATCCATAGTTGTAATTCATAAAACCTACATTTATTATTTATTAAACCAATTTGTTGTTTATAGAATTGTTTACATAACTCATAAATTATCAATAATAAATCATACTTAAGACGGGAATAAGACGAACTTTAATATTTAAAAAATAAAACTGTTCCGTCTTGAAAAGATAAAGTGAGCGGGTTTACCCTGGAAAATTGTGATTTCGAAATTTGGTATATGTTTATTAAAAAGTTTCTCTAAGTAAAACTAAAAAAGATAAATCAAAAACTCTTTTTTATTTTTTTAGTAGAAATCATAAGCTTTCAAATGATATAAATTAACTTGGATTTAGAGAATAATTTCCTAGATTTTAGCTGATCTGAAAAAAAGTGAGCGGGTTTACCCCAGTCTCCCCTATTGCTAAATTATGATTTTTGAACTGCTAATTATCAATATTATGTTAAGTGATTTAATATATTACTTTGATAGTACTTTTTTAGTGTTTAATTAACAATTTCTGCAAAATTTGGGACTACAATGCGTCAAACGTGTTAATAACATCACTATGACTGTGTAAATCCTTTCACATTAATATTTTAATAATTATTTTAAAATGTATGCCCAGAAAAACTTATGTGTCCGGGGCTATACCACTCTCCCCTATTGAATATGCTGCTTCAAATTTTGCAAATCTAATGTGAAATTCGCAATCAGCGATCACAAAAACTACCTTTGTAACAAGTTGCAAACAAAATTCTTAATTTTTCTAGCCCAGCATACAGCATCCGCCATGTCACTTTAATTTAATTTAATGTTTTGTCTACCACATTTGTTAGGACAATTTGAATTTCGCAAATTTTTTAATAAATCTGTGAGATTTATAATTTTTTTTTTGTTATGTTGTTTTTGATATTTTAAATTTTACGAATTTTGCAAATTTGACATCGAATTCATATTCAGCAACTCTAGAAAACCATATGTACAATAGTTTTCACAATTTTTTTAATTATCCTAATTACGTGACTGAAAAGGTGAGATTTGAGCTATTTAAGAATGATACTTTTAGTCATGTTTTTGATTGTCATGATAAATTTAAGCCATTATATTTTGTATGAATCCATCAGAGAAACTTATGATCGAAAATAAATTTATTAATTTAAAAGAAAAGTTTGGAATTATATTTAACTTATAAAACTGAAATTCATACAAAAATTTTATCAAATGAAAATTATGACAACAGGAAGGCCGATAAAAAAGTTTGTAATTTATTTGGAGCTTTTGGCAAAATTAAAAAGTGGATTTTTTATCAATTTTTTAAAAATAAATCTATTTGTTATAAGTTCAGTCTTTAAAGTGAATCCGAAGATTGCCCGGTTTCAAAAAGTAATAATATGTTTTCTATAATATTATAGATAATAATTAAAAAGGGTAGATTAATAGTTTCAGAATCTTACCAGTATTTTGTCAAATATATGATCAATATTTGAATATTGAATTGATATATTGCAATATATATATTTTTTCAATATTTAAATACTGTTTGAACAGGAGTAACTAATTATCTCTTAATTTGAATTTATACACATTGTAATGTTGCTCTTAGTCTTAGAAACTTATTCAACATAAATATTCGCCTTGTATTTATCGGTATTATATATTAGCAGCAACATTGGATATTAATTTAATTAAAGTTTACTTAAATTACTAGTATTTAAATGAATAGTTAAACTCTTCAATTAATATTAATAAACATGATTCATGTAAATTTTCTAGATAACTCGTATAAAGTTTTTAATAGATGCGACAATAAATATTTATACTCTGAAAAAACTTTGATTTCGAAAGAAAGTTTGGATAAAAATAGATAGAATCGTCGCATTTAGCAAATAGAAGTAAAAACTATATGAACTTTATACAGATAAAAATATTCATTAACAATTTTTGTTATATCATTGTAAAAGTATATAACAATTACGTTAAGTTTCTAGTTGAATAATAATTTGTCACTCTTTTCTGAAAAAATTACAAAATTGGTCTTTATGTGTTTGAAAATTAATCTTTAATACTAATTATTCTTCTACGAATAAAAATATGCTATTTTATTATTCTTAAATCGAAAAATGTTTATGGGAATATTTATATGTGAAGAAGGATCAGCCAAAAGGCTTATGATTTTTTTAATACTGTTTGCAAATATTAATATTAAGATTCAAATTAGTGCCTCTTTAAAATATATATTTCAATCTTCATTTGAAAATTTTCATAAGGTCCCGAATAACCCATGTTTGTACTACACCTTCCGACGGAAGATGTTTATTATTTATGGTGTTTGTTTGTGATAGCAATGGGAGCAGTTTTTACAAGTATGATTCTGAAAATTCGAAGTCTGAAGCGGAGGCTCGAGAGGATCTTGTGTGAACGGAAATGCCCCCACCAATTGCACTATCTGAAGTTCCTTCTCCAGTCACGAAATCTGCGACTATCAGTGAATCCTTAGTTGTTGCACAATTGCCTTTCAAAGCATCCTTTTCTGCAAGTCTCTGTTTCAATACCCTTATTTTTTCTTCTTTCTGCAAATATTTTACTAAATTGTAAATTTTTAATTAAATAAAACTCTGTGAATACATGTTTCACCATTTATTTCAATATAGTAAATATATTCTTACCACTGCTATAAGCCTTTGAAGTTCATCATTTTCTGTAAGTAGCTTCTGATACCTTTCTTCGTCTTCTTTAGACAATCCTACGTCTGGATTGTATTTAGATTCAGCTTTATCTTTAGGATGTCTAATAACTTCTATAACTTTAGGAACAAAAATTAATGCCATGCTGAGGAAACAGCAGAAAATTATGGCTAGTGCGACAAAAGCAAAGCTTGCATCTTGTTGACTGGCGATAACCATTGTTACAGGTGCCGTAATCAAACAAAGAACGACGACATTGTAGATAGACATTCCTACATATCTCGAGTCATTGATTTGCTTCACTTTTATACTTCGAGTTTCGTAAGCCAAGAATAATCCAAATACCAAAATTAATCCCTTATATCCGTACATTATACCTGAAACATAGTTATTTTATAAATAATACATTTACAACAAATATTTTAGTTCCTAAAATTCAAATGAGATCCTATGACTTCGTCTAAAAATTAAAATTATTCTTAAAAATATTTTCGGTCTACGCGCTTTATATTACTTACAATATTTCAGTAGCCTTGTTTGTTACCTTCCTCTTCTTGTTTTTTTGGTTTAAAAACTAACTTCTAGAACACATTTTTAACTTTAAACATTATTAAAAAATAGACTTTGTCAGTAAATACCATTAAATATATTTGCGAACATACAGTTTGTTCAAAATTAATATCTCTAATCATTAACCTTCAAAGTCATATGGATCTTAGTCCATTAGGATCTGATAATATAATAAGTTTGCAAATAGTGTTTCAACCGCTTGGTATTCTTTGCAAGAAGAATAAAGTATAAACATAAATATAAGATTATTTGCATTTTATTAATCCTGCATAATTTCAAAGGTTTCATATAACTTAAAATATAAAAAACCTAAAAAGTTACATTTCTTCCCTAAAAATTTTTAGTTTTTTAAACCTTCGTGCTACCAAGTAATTTTTTGTACCCAGACTGCCCGGAATTGCCGAAACGTTATTTATTTGTATATTGCATAAAGGACTATAATTTATCCAGGTGTTTTCTACATTCCAGGGTACGGCGAAAAAGTAAAAAAGGCGGTCAAAATTGTTTCTCAGGTGTAATTTTGATTGAATTGTAATGATCTTGCGCTTAAAATACAGCTGGAATATAGGACTGTAAGATATAGGTGCGACTTTTTTCATTTAATCTATAAGCTATTTTTACATTACATTAAAGACTGTAAAAAAAGGATTAAATTTTGAGTAATGATAAATATCTTCTTTTACCGAAATTAATAACCTCTTTCCTCTGAAATTATTTGTGAATCCCGGATTAAGAATGTTGTCATATTCAAACTGTACCTTATTATTTGAATCAAACTTTTAACTTTTTTTAAACTTTATATAATTGCCAATCCCAGGTCAACCCTGGGATCAGTTTTTTTGTTCTTAAGATAGCCAAAACCATGGCTGAAGATCTTTGAATTTCTTTTTGAATTTTTTTACATTCGCCAACCCCGGGACAACCCAGGGATCAGTTTTTTCCGTTCGCGTCCTTAAGATCACCAATACCATAGCTGAAGAGCTTTCAATTTTTTTTGAATTTTTTTACATTCGCCAATCCCCTCGGGACAACCCTGGGATCAGTTTTCTCTGTTCTAAAGATCGAAAAAACCGTGACTGAAGAACTTTGAATTTTTTTTGGAATAATAATAATAAACAAGTAAAAAATTATAAATAAAAACAATAGGTAAGTAATTAATTATTGATAATTAACAATAGAATGAGTAGGTAACAATAATACACAATTAAATAATTAAATAAAAACAAATAAATTGATAATTTAATAGGGAAGAGTGGTCCTAAGTTGGCCGCCTGAGCTAATTGGTCGAAAATAATAACAAAATTGTAAGTTGAGTGTCCTTACTTCTAATCATCGAGGTAAAGGTATGTGTGTGTTGTCAAGAAAGGGCACGGAATCTGGTAGCCTTGAGTGAGTATGAAAAGAAAATTTAGTGTGGTCAAGTGTCCCGCGCGCGTAACACTGTGCGACGGGCATCTCGCAAAATTAAATATAAAGACGCCTAACGAAGGCGATCGTTATATATTTCTCAACGCCCAATAGGGGTAAGTGCAGTGATTTGATGCATTTAAAAAAAAATGGTGAAATAATGGTATCAATTATTTATGGTTTCGCCGGTGTTTATTTGTTTATAGCGGTTGGTGAAGAAAATTGTAATCACCAGAGGTGATCGTCGTTCGTAAACGCATTATCTCTGCTATAGGCGATTATCATATTGCATTGAAGAAAATCGTCACTGCTGTGCTCAGACGATTCCTTTTTTTTACGAGAGATTTCCTGGATTGTGTTCATCAATGTAATTGTCTACACACCACTTCTGGAAATTTCGAGAATAAATCATTGGACACACATATGATCCTGATCATTTGTAATTATAATTTTATTGACGGATATCATTTGTGATATCATAGCGATAACCTGACGACGGTGAGTTCGTAGCATTTTATTTTATGATTAATTCATTTTGCGAAAGAATAGTGAATAATTGACCATACACACTTTTATCTCAAAATATATGTTTTTAAAGTAATTTATAATCACTGCTGATTCTCGAAGAGAATCCCACAAATTTATTGTAAAAAGCTGATTTGAAATATTGGAATCCAATTGTTTAATTTATTAATATTCGTTAACAGAAGATCTTCTAAAAATTCACTAATGTATGTAAAAATGAATGTACGGACGTGCATGAATGATAATTATAAATTCTAGTTTTGTTGTTTCAAATAAATGTCGACTGAATATATTTTATTTTACAATTTTTAATTATTTCCGAGGAAGTAAAAAATCATAACTGTTACAAAATCAAATTTAATCACTTTGGCAAGTATATATTAGTGTTGAGAGATCGTTTTGCTATAATTTTGTGGTATTCAGAATGATATAGAATGACTTTTGTAGTCTTACTGTCTTAGTACAATAAATAGTGGAAAATTGCATTTTGGATGTTTCAGAAATAGCGGTCCTAAGTTGGCCACCACTTTTTTTCGCTTGAGTATAAGGAAGAAATGCATATTCTTCTCAATTACGCAGAAATTTTACAAATTTGATACATTTAGGAGAATAAAAACGCAAAACATAAATAAAAACAAACAAAAACAATAGGTGGCCAACTTAGGACTACTGTAGATTTTTACAAGTTTCAATTTATTAAGCTAATAAAAAAAATGTAAATAAATAAAATTTTCTTTAAATCTATAAAAACTAATGTTATTGCTTTATTTAGAAATAACCTAACATTAAATATTTGTTGACAAAACACATAAATATATTTATCTTTCTAAAAGCACTCTCAACTCATTAATGCAACTTTTTGTGCTCTCATCTAAACTAGCGATTTTGAAAGTTTAATAAAACGTATTAAAATGCATTTTTTAGAAGTTTTCATTAAAAATACCAATTAATATTAATTAAAGTTTTATTATAGATTATTATCTGTCAAAGAAAGTTATATTTTTAATAAAATTCGTAGTAAATAGGGCACTCGTAGTAATGCGCACAATCACCCTAATAATAACAAAGAAAAATAATTTCTGTTTAATTTTTTCGGACGAAGATAAAACCTATAGCATTATGGAAAAACAAGAAACATTTAAGTGTATTAGTGTCAAAGAGGAAACTAATTTTGTTGAAAAAGCAATTTCTTACAAAAGAAAAATCTTAGCTAGAAGCGGTAAATAAAATATTATTTTGGTTAATAAAAACTAAAAAATTAAATCTTTTTTTACATCTTTTGAGTTTTCAATTTATTCTTGTTAAATTATCTGTTATTTAACTCATTCATTAATTTATAATTGATTAATTATTGATTTATTTAATTATCGTTATTGGATTTTAATTTATCAATTATTAACATATTCGTTATTATTTATTAATTATTTACTAGTTTACTATTATTATTTATTATATTTTTTAATAATTAATTGATTATTTACTAATTTAATATGCAATTACCAATTTATTAATTACTTACTTGTTTCTTATTATTATTCAATAATTATTTAATTATTTATTCTCATTATTTATTAATTGATAACATGTTTATTATTTTTATTCATTATTTATCAAATAATTATTTACTACTTTATTATTGTTATTTATCTTAGATGTCGTTAACACATTTGTTAATAAATTTTCGATTTATTATTTACTAATTATTTATTTACTTTGTTGAGGATGTTATTTATTTTATTTATAATTACTTGGGTAAAACTTAAAATATATTAGTATTCTACTAATATATTTTAAGAGGTGCCTACCAATCGGGAATTTAATTTGACTAGGAAAAACTAATAATTAGTTACATTAACTATTTTAGTAGGAAAATATTACTGTTTGAATCAGTAAATGACTTTTTCTATCAAATAATATTTTTAACTAATTCAGATTTACAGAACAGTATTTGTCAATTTGTAGTACTTTATGCGTTTGTAGTATTTCAAATAACACCGGCACACAAAAAAAAATTTGGATTGCCAGGACTGCCATGTGGTAGGTTTTCTTCCTTAAGGTGTATCTAAAGAGAAAAACATTGTCCGACCTAAAAGTTAGTTCGTGTTCTCTTTTTACAGGCTTGGTGGGGGGGTGAAGTTTTTGAAAATGATTTTTATGGGAGTTTATTTAATTTCTATAAATAAAGCTGAATTTTTGCTTCTTCTGAATGTTTTTTTGAATTCAGTGACTTTAATAACATAAGAATTGAATATATAAAAAAATAAAAATGGAGGATTCAAAATGGTGGATCTAAAATGGTGAATTTAAAAATAAATTGTTCAGATTTCCTTGAAACTTGTTACTCGGGGGTTTTTGGGGTCGCTGATTACGAATCTGACATCAGATTTTCAAAATTCAAAAATGTGGATCCAATATGGCGGACGAAATTTTTAAAAATTCCTCGTATTTACTTAAAACACGTTACCCGGGGGTTTTCGGGGTCGCTGATTACGAATATGATGTTAGTTTATAAAAATCCAATATGGCGGCTCCAATATGGCGGACAAAAAAGAACAGATTTCTTAATTTCTATGTCTTGAGTACCTTACCCTTTTGGTTTCAAATGATCTCCGGAGCACTTTTTCTCTTCTTTGAAGTTTTAGTCTCTGGTATATCTCTTTTTAGCGTCCAACAATAGTCCGCTAACATATTCTTACTCCATTTCCCTTGTTAGCGTTTCTGCATATCATTTAAATCTGGGTGAAATCCTTGTTTCTCGCTGAAATCACCAAGATTTTTAGGAAATTCATCTAAATGTGAATCCAAAAAGTGAATTTTATAACTCATCAAACATCCCAGCTTTTTAAAATTCTCTACCATTTTTCCTACAATTTCT